CCACCGACTTCARACCCCAGTTTCGAGAAAAACGCGTTTAAAGACGGCGCACTTAGCCTAGCTAGCCTCGAGCGCACAAATTCCCACGGGTGTATCTCCGAAACTACTCGGATCAACTTGAAAATTTAGGACAATATTCCAGAGTTGTTGTAGAATTTACTGAGATAAAAAAAAAATCGATTATTGAAAATTAATATAAATTTAATATTGCAATTTTTTTAGGGGACTGTCTTTTAAATTGTAGAGATTTTAGGTGTTGTTGGTGGGAGCTGTAGGGAGAAAATTTTTTCAGAGTTGGGAATTGAAAAGTTAAGTTGGAAAATCGTTGGAATAAGTGTATAATTGATATTGTTGAATAATGAAATATTTTGTTTTTTATTCACAATTTCTTGTATCTAACAATGTATATGCAAAATCATCAAAACTTAGTGTTTAATTCAGTTCCTTCTAAAATAGCGGATTTTTTTTAAATTTATAGTGACGACATTAATATTTTCCTAAAAAAATATTTTTATATTATAATTTTTTGTGATCGTTCACAATGTCTGCAAGCTGCTTGGTAACTATAAGTTCCAATAAGGTTAAACTTCGGCTCGTCAGAAAACATTACAGATTTAGACTTAAGTTTATTTTTAACTGCTTTTTTTTCCAAAAAACGACACTCTGTTTTACGACTTTATTTGAATAGCTAACGACGAGACTTTATTTGAATAGCTAACGAAATAATAATAGATTTTTGCGACAAACAAAACTGTGTTTGTTTAGAGATGATTTTGTTTAATTTAAAAGAAAACACGAATTACAAATACAAATCAAACACACGAATACTTTGAAATTAATTAAAAGTATAACATAGACATATTGTTCGTACGTTTCCCTGCATAACAGCATTCCCGTTATATGGAAATTGTAATGAATCTGTAAAACATACTTGCTGCGGCTTTTTTGTTACGCTGTATGTATACATATACATATATTCTGTGAAAGAAGTAYCTGGAAATTTTAAATAAAACATAAACTGATCAATCATCTAAATTTATTATATCCCCATCAAAATAGGCCCCTAAAGGCAATACACTGCTTCCAACGAATAATTCAATCATCGAAACACTTGTTAAAGCTATATTCCGGGATGGCCTTCTGTTCACGTTGCGAATTAGTTTTGATGTCTTAAATGCTCTCAAAACGAGTTCCACGAAGTGGAAATTTGAGTTTTTGAAACAGAAAAGTCACACGGGACCATATCTGGAGAGTACGGTGGTTGTGCGATGATATTTGTTGAATTTTTATTCAAAAACTCGTTCGCAGTGATCGCTTTGTGCGCTAGAGCATTATCGTGGTGCCAAATCCAACTGCTGTTCCGCCACAAATATTTTCTTTTGTGACGAAAATTTTCTCTCTCTTTATTGACGGTTTTGCGGTAAGAATTCCGAATGAACAACACCACGAATATCGAAGAAAACGACCAGCATCACCTTGATTTTCGATTTGCTTTGGCGAGCTTTTTTCGGCTTCGGCTCACTTTTGTCGCGCCTTCTTCTTATTATCGTTCCTCTTTGAACGATTTATACCAATTGTAAACTTGAGTTTTCGACTTGATTGAATCACCAAATATTTTTTTTTAACACTTCCAAAGTTTTGGCACAAGAAATTTCGTTTGWAACACAAAATTTCCCACAAAATCTTTGTTCAATATTTTTATTCATAGTAAAAATCGCAACGCACATAAAAGATTGATTTTTTCCTAATGACGCCGTAAACAAACTGAATGACTCATAGCAATAAAAATTTACACAACAGGGGCTGACAGTTGTGCCAACCTGGGAAAATATTTTGAAATATTCTCAGTGGGTATAAATATGATATTAAAGAAAATGTGTATAAAGCATTAGTAGCATAAAATAACACTATTCACAGTAAGAATAAATATTTTCCAGTAACGCACATAGAGCTGCGGTCAAAGTATTAGCACTTCTCGGTAATAAATGTTTGCAAATAAAATCTCGGGAACTGTTTAACTATGCAATCGTTACTTTTTATATACTGAGTACAACAAAAAGGGTTATTAATCACTAAGGAAAATCAGTATAATACCTTATAGAAAAGTTGCAATATATAAACTGTCAACTACCAGAATCCCTCTCGGTTGAAAAAATAGCACCTTTAAATATTTTTAGTTAAATAAAAGAAAATAACAAAATTATATTTATCCAATTTCAAATGTCGTCCTGGTCCAGATGATTTATATATTTATATCCGTTATACCTAACGACAACGTTATAAATACTTTTGCAGACGATATGTCATAGAAGAATTTTATACCTTTTATGAGGACTAAATTCTGCGATTGATTTACATATGTGTACGTTCGCTTCACACGTGAAAGAAACAGTAGAATACAGATAGAAATTGTCTGATATGTATTATGTTTTAAAACATAGGAAAACAAGTAMAGACCTTAGTTCGAGTGCATATCCGAACATTTTAAACACTCGCAAAATTCAAGAACCTACCAAGAATGTTGTTGAAACTCGCTGTTATAATCCATCGTATATTTATATACCGCGTTTTCAAATAGGGATGATATAATTTCTAAATATAGTTTCGGCTATTTGTGATCTGTAATTATTTTTCATTGTATTCGGTAATGCTTACAATTTCATCATGGACAGATATACGCAAAATCAACATTTATAAATGATTCAATTTTATTATCAAAATAATCGTTCTCCATTTACAACTTTTCTTTTGCCATTTTATGGTCGTATTAAAGATCCACCTGTGATCGCATTTCGTCAAATTGTTAAAAATTTCGAGCGTACATTTTATTTACATAATGTTTAAGTGCCAATAAGACACTTCCATTCGAAGTAATGAAAATATTGCTGTTGTTCAGGCAAGTCTTATTGGAGACCGCAATTTTTCGATTACAAGACGTTCTCGAAAATTGGGACCGTCTCTAACCACAACCTGGCGAATTTTGAGAAAAGATTTAGGATTGCATCTGTATAAAATTGTTCTCACTCGAAAAATGAGTTTATCGGATTCGATCCTGCAAAAGAAGTAGTGGAGGTCATTTTAATGTCTGTCTCTTATACACATCTAGATGTGTATAAGAGACAGAACCACAACCTGGCGAATTTTGAGAAAAGATTTAGGATTGCATCTGTATAAAATTGTTCTCACTCGAAAAATGAGTTTATCGGATTCGATCCTGCAAAAGAAGTAGTGGAGGTCATTTTAATGTTGTGATATGCTGAACTTAATTGTATCGATTGCACTTCACATTAAATAAAAAACATTTGAGTTTCTTTAACAATTAGTGTATTTTTTTTTTTTAAGAAATCATATAATCCTTATTGGAAAAGCATGTATACATATGTGTGTGAAAAATGGAGAATTGATATTTCTGTTTATGAATTGTATAATTATTATAAGCCTGCCAATTCGCAAAGAAGCAATAAAATCAAAAGGCTTAAAAGGCTCGTACGGCCAACTAAATCCGCTAACTCCATAGCGTATGAATCAGTTGCGCTTTGCTATTCTTAAATGCGTAACCTAAGCTTTTCGCTATATAATTGTGTAAATGGTATTAAAAAGTTATTTGTTGAAAGTTGTATCCTAATATGTGCAGTTAATATCTAAGTAGACATCACATTTTTAATAACTTTTAAGTATACAGATTTATCAAATGCGCGTTAAGTGGGTATAAGAATTTATACTAGTTTGGTTTTTAATAAACTGAAATTTTTTTTTAATATATTGAGGCTACTTGACTGTTTTAATATATGTAGGTAAATAACTCAACATATATGGTTGTTTCGTCAACGCAATATACAAAACACAAATGCAATGCAGAATATTCGTAAACGGTATTGCATTAATTTGTACAAATTATAAAAATCATGAATACAACAACCGTATTTCCTTCATACGAGTAAGCCGTCAAAAATAGCATGAGGGTTGTTTCGCATGCATTGCATTGAAAATATTTAAAATGGAACGTTTTTTCCGATGAAGTAATTGGGTGATCCAAGAGAGGAACTTTTTCTAATCACGCGTGAGTGGTGTCAAGCTGTCATGTTATTTTTGTTCAGTTTGTTTGACATTTCATCATGGAATCAGTTACACCTAAACAACGTTTACAGATCGTTAAACTTTATTAAGAAAATTCGTTCTGTAAAGAATGTGTTTAGCGCGCTTCGCTCAACTTATGGTCAAATAATCGGTCTACTGAGCCCATCTAGACCCAGCATTCATTATTCGATAATGTTCGTCCGAATAGACTATGTGCAGCACGCAGTGAAGTTGCGCAGTTCGCAGCAACKCGAAACGACTTGGACTGTTTTATGTCGAGATCTTAAGAACCGAAGCCGCTTAACCTTCCCAAGCGACATCTCTTCGCTCTTCAAAATTGCCGCATTTGAGACGAAGAACAATCTGCGATAGCGATAGAAGAGCTGCCATTTCATCTGGAAACAACATCGTTTTRGTGTGGTTTGTGGGCCGTAGGAATTATTGGCCTGGGGGTATGTAAAGTGTAAAGTCTATGTGGTCACTATCGCTTCCATTCAGGACTTGGAACCAAACATTATGAGTGGCTTTCTCTAGTTACCAGTCGAAATGCTAGAACGAATTATCGAAAATTGGGCTAAACGGATGGACCATCTGAAACGTAGCCGCGGCCAACATTTTAGAGATAATATTCAAAAAATAAATGGCAAAGAATGTTCTTTTGAATGATAATAAACATTCCTCATTCAATTTAAAGATTCTGTGTTCTCTATTTTTTTTAAGTGGGGAACCTCGAAATTGATCACCCTTTATAATTATATGTTCGTTATTAAATTTTAATTATTATTTTATTTTATTTATTTTAAATTTACGTATGCTTTAAAAATACTTTGCATATTGCGCTTACGATAGCAGCCAACGTTACAAAATGAAATTTGAGTAAATTCTCTTATGATTCCATTTACTTATGCTATAATATTACCTACCGGAAGATTTATATTATCCTGGCATTTTGGAAATGTGCGCTCGTTTTTCGTTATTCTCTTAATTTTATTTTCCTCTTTGTGCTTTCCATCTCGCTGTATATAGCCGGTTTTATCGCTGAAAAATATAAATACATATAAATAAAAAAACTCAATACTATAGTATGCAAATTAGTTAAATATCAATTTTATTAGTTTTTTGAATATTAATAATATGGAACGTGAGGAAATACTTTGGTTTTTGTCATCTATATGTCGACTGATGCGCTATCTTTATCCAGTGAGAAATTCATAACATTTCATTGATTGGAAGTGAAGTTATTGCGTTTTAAATGTCAGTATGTTTGAGTTATCAGTGCAAAAGTGAGCTTCCAACAAAGAGCTAACATTAAATTTTGTTTTAAAATTAGTAAACCTTTTACCGAAACGTTTCAATTGGTGAAACAAGTTTATGGCGATGATTGCTACCCCGTAGCAGAGTGCAAGAGTGGTTTCAACGTTTTCAAAGTAGTGGTTAGGACATAAATGACATACATGAGGGCCAATCAAAATCCGTGATCACCGAAAATTTCATTGAAAAGGCGTGAATTTATCAAAAATCAGCTGAAATCATCATTAAAATGGAATTGAACATCTGCAAAACATCGATTTTTCCCAAATATTCGGGCTTACGAAAGGTGTGTGCACTTTTCGTTCCGCACAAATTGACTGATGACCAAAAATTGCTCAAAATCCAACAATCGAAAAACGATTTTTTGATCAAAAATCATCCAAAACTCCGGTTTATCGCATTTTTACATAACATTTCGGCTTGCGAAAGGTGTGTGCACGGTTTGCTCAGAATCCAACATTCGAGGGACGCTTGTGACCGATAATTTGACCTAAAATCACATTTTAACTATTAACCACTCCCCGTATTCACCTGATATGGCACCTTGCGACTTCTTCCTTTTTGGAAAAATGCATCTGCTCATGGAAGGAAAGCGTTAGGCAGACGTAAAGGCCATTCAAAAGGCTTGCACCGGCATACTAGCGGCCATACCGGCCAACRAGCTAAAACACTCGTTCGATTGAAGTAGAAGGAGCTTATTTTGAATAAAAGAAATTGATTTTGCCGAAAAAACCATTTGTTCTGTTTTTTGGAACGCACTTTGTATAACATGAAAACGAATGCAGACAAATGCTTGATTCGATTTTCCCATGTAAACAGTATAAATAAAAATGATGAGAGCAAAACGAACAAGATTTGAGTAGCAGAAGCTGCGGTGATAGCCGATAACATAAGTTCAACAAAATATTTCAATATTATATTATTGAAACATGGTTCTTTGTTCCGATGTATGAACATTTCATACTTTCATAACTTGCAACAGTGATAAAGGATTAAAATGATATTTGTCATTTTATTAACTTATTTTAAAGAAACTAATCCATACTAATATTATAAATGCAAAAGTGTTACGTGCATAGCTAGACCTATCTATTGCAAACTCGTTTTGTTGTAATTAGTTATTAGAACTAAGTTTTTAATAACGTATTTAAGACCCCTTTTATTTAACTAATTGCAACACTTATTTAGTCGACCCCTTTTTAAAACACAAACATTATTATTAATATAAATATTAACAGGGAAACAAATTAATTTATTTAACGAATGAGACGATAGTACCTATTGAAAATCGTTACCGATTAAATAATAAAATAAATGCTAACGATTGAAATACTGCGAGAAGTAAATTCATATTATATAAACTAATTACGAGTAGAGAAATTTTTCTTACGGAAYATTAAAGCTAGCTAACGGATATAACTGATAAAAAATAACTTTATATCATACCTTTACAAGAAGTCACTACATTTTTTAGTTGTTAAAATTTCATCAACAATGTGATAATAAAAACAATTTCTCAGCTAATATTATTAAATTAAAAAATAAATATTTTCTGACAAATCCTTAAAATATCGAAAGTTGATTTCAAAATATATTTTCAAGGAAAAGTAACAAAATTTTTCATTAAAAATATGGTAGTTAAAATTAAAATTATTTCTCAACGCACATACACTTGTGCTCACACAATTAAGCCACATAAACGTTATGGTGTACAAATT